TTGAGGCGATACGTTCCTCCGAAACATCGTTTAACATCACATCTACACGGTGCCACATCCCAGAAGACCGCTTTCTTCATAGTCACCGCCGTGAAAACCTCAAATCTTACACAGTTATGTCCAGTCTCCGTCTTCACTAACGATTTCTCTACTTCCATTTTGATACTACATATTCTTAAATATACGCCGAGAACATCCAAGTGGGCTCTCACCTACATTTTTCAACAACATTTACCAGATCATGTTTTCTTCATTCCCCCTAAGCCTGCTTCTTATCCTGAGGACATCATCTTCCTCTAATTGACTGCCATAAGAATAGGCCTACCAAGACAAACAGACCAACAGGCTTGCAAATTTTGAAGCTGCTCACGAAACGTCGCGGTTAACAGTCCTGCTTGGTATTCAGAAGGTACTGCCTTCTGTTGACCCGGAGACTAGCTATTTTCGTTGAGCTCCTTCGTGGTTTCCTCAGGCCCTCTAAACATGTCAGAAGAATACCTCCAATTGGCTACTACCGCTTTCTTTCACTCTCCACACTATGTAATCTGTTCTACTGACGTCATTAAATGAACCATAACTAATAAATAAATTAAAATGCTTATGATATAATTTTCCTGTCCCTCTTACGTAGGTCTGTACAACCGGCCAAGTGTCGTGGTCGGCATTCTCGGCTATTCTGACTCAGTCCTTCTATGACAGGGTCGGAATGTACATAAAAATAGTCTACAACAGTTTCTGCCCACATTAATTTGACTGACCTCCACAAACCATCCAAACATCCAACGCTATGTAACCCATGCAGTGGTAGAAGCATCATAAACAGGAAAATAATTAGTCTTCGATAGGCTAATCACATCTCTTGACAGTTCTGCTTGGTGGTACTTTTGTTCGTAACGGCCGCTATGGTTGCTGTGCGCGTCTCCCCGTTTAACGCTCGCGGGTTCCGTCACCCCTGCTGCAGTATCGACAGCCCGATCGGGCTGGTATGTAGTCTGCTGAGGCAGGTCCAGCGCATGCGCGAAAAGGGCGATCAATTACCATGCCGAAAAGTACAGTCTGACAGGGATACACGTACCCTCTAGGGACAATATCTATTTCCTCTCCCCCTTCCTAGTATCATCCTTATAGTACTTTGGTGTGTTCTCAGAGTTTGAATGGCTGCAGATAGCGGGAACATCGTGGAAGCTACGTAAAGGAAGTGACGCTGCGGAAAGGTGGGGAGACAAGAGCACGAATTGTCTTCCTTCTCATTTAACACACACAGAATATTACAGGCCTATATGAGTATAAAAAGTTCTGGGAAGACTTGCGTCGCCACTGTTCAACATACATTTTGAAACTAACAAGCTATAAAATTAATTCTACAATTTAGCAAATCCATTTTGGTGCTAAATCTTTCCTAATAAGAAGGCAAATTTCGATAACATCGACTATGCTTCATAAGTTCCATTAACTTCGAATTTCGAACCGTCGCTGTCTTCATGTTTCTTAAGATATTAAAATAATTTCATACAGATTTTGCAGGTCTAGGCCAATTTTGCACATATCTCCGTACAAAATTTCGTATACCCATCCCCCCCTGGTTTCAACTTCTAACCATTAAAAGGATTTCGAGCCTCTGATATGTTCTTTAGGGCCTACATTCCACAAAACTAGGACCTCAGCTACAAAACTTAACATATTTTGGAAGCTCTATTAATTAAGGTCATGGAGCGGAGCCCATCATGAGAAATTTACAGTTAGTTTATCCAGCTTTTTATGGAATGTGAAGGTGCATTTTCGTTTTCATACACGTCGGCCTTTCGATCCTATTGAAAGCCAGCTGAATTCAATCCATATTCTCACACCTTACTTCCTAAATTATATTTTAATACTATTGTTCCACATGCGGCCAGCTCGCTCTTCATGTTTTCCGAATAAATATTGTACGAATTTCTTCTCATCCATATGCGTTTAGAAATCCAATTCATTCAACCTACTCATTTCTGTCCCATACTTTTGTTGTATTACGGGAAGGGCATACATTATGAAGCTCCTCATTATCCAGCCTCAATTGTCGTCCTTTTATTCCTCTGTCTTACGACGAAATATTCTCCGCAGCATTTAGGCTACCCAGATACACTCACTATGTGTTCTTCCGTCAGGATAGGAAAGCAAGTTTAACACTCATGTAAAGTAAGGGATAATATTATGTTTTCCTATATCTTCATTTTAAGTTAGCTTGTTCGAAATAGGACACAGGTAGGCAAAGTTTCTTAAACTAAAAGCAGCAAACATTCCCCAAATTAATCTTCTCTCCACTTCGCCATTAACTACAAAATGTACTTCCATGCCTAAAGAAGGGTACGCGATAGCGTAGTTGATTAAAGCACTATGCTACAAGCCGGAAGGTCGCGGGTTCGATTTCTGAAGTGGTCATTGGAATTTTCAATTGGTCTAATCCGTCCAGCCCCACTATTGCCCTGGGGTCTACTCAGCCTCTAACAGAAATGAGTACCAGGAATCTTGTTGAGGGTAAAGGGCGGCCTGTGCGTAGGGCTGACAAATTCTCCGCCACCTGTGAGCTCATTTTATAGAAGATGTGGGAGCCTCGACGTCTCACAACACTGTGGGCCTCCACGGCCTGTTACAGGGATAGCTTTACCTTACTTTACTTGTTTACTTCCATGCGTAAATGTTTTAATTCTTTATGGTTTTGTAATGAATTCCGGTGACGAGCCATAAGCTCGAGTAACATCGCCTTTGCTGCGTTTATAAACCAAAAGCATTACCTGTATTTACAGGGATTTCATGCCAGTCTCTTTTATGTTACCATCCTGTACATTAACCTCGTGGACATGAAACAAAAGTCAATGTGGTCCATTTAATTCAAAGTCCCCGTAGTCTTCTATTTCTTCTTAATTCCGTGTTAAGTAGAAGTGCTGACGTATTTCCTGTTTGGGACAATTTGGGAAAGGATAGTCGTGACGTAGATGTTTACTTGCACGGACATTATTAGTCTTCGTTCAAGCAAATTGCAACAAGGATATACTCAATGTGGGAGTATCACGTTCAGTGTTAACTGTGTACAGCACTGCTTCCTAAGTAATAGAGCTTCCTGGGCCGCGCCATAGCTCAAGCGGTTACTCGCTGGCTTCCCACCGCGGCGGCCCGGGTTCGATCCCGGGTCTGGTCAAGTAGGATTTGTGGTGGACAAAGTGGGGCTGGGGCAGGTTTTCTCCGAGTACTTCGGTTTCCCCTGCCAATCATTCCACCAATTACTCCACAATCACCCTCACCTATCATGTGGGGCTGGTACAATAGGCCAGAAGTGGCCGCAGTACAAGGGATTTAGTCCCACTCCACTAGCAATAAAAAAAAAGGCTTCTTTGACTAGCTAATGTTCTGCCTAATTCTTTTCTCCAGTATCCGAGGAATCCGATTAGGATTAGACATCGTCACTGATAATCCCTGGTAGGTTTGTCTATATGGGGGATAAATTTGACCGCCTCTCTAGTCTAGTGATCAGAGTTCCTGGCTACAGATCCATAGGTTCCGGGTTCGATTCCCGGCGCTACAAGATTTCCTGAGAAGCAGTGGGTCTGGAACGGTGTCCACTCAGCCTCATGAGGAGCTATTTCAAGTAAATAGCGGATCCGGTTTAGATAACCGAGATTAACGGTCGTGGGGATCCGTTGCGCTGATCATGTGACATCCATGTGCACAATAAATACTCAAAAAAAATATTTAAGGTTTTCATTTGACTCGCCTACGTACTTCAGTAAAACTTCCAGAGAAAAGCACCCGTTAGGACCAAATTTAACGAATAAGGTATATAAATGTATATAAAAGTATGGCAGTCTACACAACAATAGTCTGTATTTTAAAACAAAGTAGACACTATCGTATCAACATCTGTATTTATCGACGTTACATGTTTCGACCCTTATACTGGGTCATCATCAGACGTAGAATTATACCAGTCTCAGTTAACTGAATTGCATCTGCAACAGATGTTGATACAATGTCTAATTTGTTTTTAAATACAGACTATTGTTGTGTAGACTGCACACTTTTATATAAATTTATATACCCTATTTATAACACACAACATGATGCATACTGTTAAGGTAATTTAATGAAGCTGTTTCAGCTGCAGAGATCACAACCTATCATAAATTATGAATAGATGGGACCAATATTTCTGGGGAGCAATGTTTCTCTAACTGGTAACGCTTGCACGTGGATCTCCTTTCGTTCAACCAGCGTAACAAGCGGACCATTTGACCGTCGCCGTCTCTGACAGGTTGTTTACAAATGCTTCCCATATGAGGGGGTTGTCTAAATGCAGGCTTAGAGAAGAAGGCAGAGGCACAACTCAGTTATCATGCCCCCCCCCTCCCCGAATACTGCGTAGTGACAAGGAACTCAATTACAAGCATGTAGACCAAAAAAAAATAAAAGTGTAAAGTAATAATACATTTAATAATTAAACAACAAACGGACATGAAGAGTATTCCTAAACATAAATACGTAAAGTAAAAATAAGTGGAAAATGAAACTGATGCATGATACGCGCTTAAGTAGACTAACAAACGAACGTAACGTGTTTTTGTTAAGCTGACTGTTCGTAAACTGAATTTATAAGTTAAATTCGTTAAAACATTCGTAAGCGCGGGTTTTCATGGTCGTTACGTTAATTCTGAGACGCAATTTGTTAGTGTGCGCAATGTTCGTAAATATGAATTGTTCGTTTCTTGAAGTTCGTAAGTAAAAGTTCATTGCATTACTTTCGCCACTAATTTAGTCTAAGATGAGGTTTTCCCTGAATATACAACGGAAAGATGCAAGGTCAACCTTACGTAACAGAGGCTTCACAGGAGTCAGATCCACAAATACAGTTGAACGCAACGTGAAACATCACAACAGAATTCGTGCGTACAAGAAATAGGTCTATACACACATACAAACTTGTTTTGCTACATGTAATGAATAAACTAAATAAACAGACACAAGCTTACCTGTACCATGATTCAGCCATGAAACAGAGGTTCCAAGCTCCTGAGACATCCAACAACCAAAAGTCTAAAACGTAAATTTTGAAAACTACGCAACACAATGAATTTGATTTGTTTCATTCTGGTCCGCCACACTAGCACACTAGCCACACTAGGCAGAACTGTTTAACTTTTCACAATACGCAACACAACATCACAACCGCACTCGAACGAAAAATAAACTTGAATATTGTCACGCCAGACGTCGGGGAACGACAGAGGGACTCCGAAGAGAACACAGACCTAGTACGCCTAGTACCCTGTTCCAAGACGACGAAAAGAAAGAGGTTAGACCAAGAAGAGCAAGGGGGGAAGGGTACCATGTCAGAAATCCGGTGAAAGGGAACGTGACGTCATGAGATGTCACGGAATAAAACGCAAGATGACACTGGCCGGCTACGGTCTCTGTGTCGAGCTAATCGAGCGACCCACAGTTGAATTATCAGTTCAGTCTTACGCATGCATACTGCACTACCTACCTACCTACCTACCTACCTACCTACCGCTCGGCGCTACAGCCCTGGGTGAGCCTTAGCATTTCGCTTAGTGGGGGGTGGAGTCAAACTGGGTCCACTCGGCACGGCGGCCACTGATTGGCCTATTGTAGCCTGCCCCGGGTGATTATGATGATGGAGAATTTGGTGGATTGAAGATTGGCAAGGGAAATCGAAGTACTCGGAGAAAACCCGCCCCAGTGCCACTTTGTCCACCACAAATCCCACTTGACCAGACCTGGGATTGAACCCGGACAGCCGCGGTGGAAAGCCAGCAACTAACCGCTTGAGCTATGGCGCGGCCGAGCCTTGACATTCTCCACCACCAATGCGTACTGCGTCATGGTTCACTCAAGACGTAAAAATGAGGTCTAAAATTATTACGATTGTTATTAAGGAATGGAATGAAATACCTACAACCTCTTTACTAGCCGTCACAACACAATAAATATCAAGGTCAATGCCCATCTACGGCTCTGCTACATGTTTCGGTTATCAATAGCCATCATCAGGCAAATACGTAAGTAAAAATGAGACCGACAAACAAGTGAAAGTGTAACCAGTGACATGAATTGAACCTTGATTCACGAACTTTTAACTTTTAACAATTAAATTAGAATAATAATTTTAACCTGTGTTTTATAAAAGAACTCGATATATCAGTGAGCGTAAGTCTGGATAAGATACAAGGTCGAATGAGTGAAAAGTGAATGTGACCGCGTGTAATTATACAGCCGTGTTCATACACCTGAGGATGACCTCTTGAGGTCGAAACATGTAGTGATAATGTGATAAAAACGTGTTGTGTAGTCGGTAAATTCACTCTACTATCGATTAAACACACAACAGGATGCAAGAAACGATTAAAATTAAAAAAAAAATACGTACATGGTTAAACATATATACACCACTGAACTGCAGTACTATTAAACTGGATACAATACTATTAAGCATATAAAACACTTGACGTAAAAAATACAACTAATCAGATTATATAAAACAGAAGTTATATTGTAAAACAATAATAACATTTTAATTGATGTTTTATAACATCGAATGAGTCGTTGGATTTGTAATTTCGTACGTTCCCATGGACAAATTGGAATATTCTCTATTTTTTCTTTTTGTATATAAGATTGTATAGGAGGCTCGTGATGTAGATGTTAATATTAATTGTTCAGTCGGTGCCTTACCTTACAAAGTGTTGTCCGTACTGTAGGGAATATAAACAACGACTAAGTCGTTGTTTACATTCAAGTGTTTTATATGATTAATAGTATTGTATCCAGTTTAATAGTACTGCAGTTCAATTGTGTATATATGTTTAACCATGTATTTGCCTGATGATGGCTATTGATAACCGAAACATGTAGCAGAGCCACAGCTGGGCACTGGCCTTGATATTTGTTGTGTTGTGACGGTTAGTAAAGAAGTTGTATATTGTAACACAACAGGATTCATGAAATGAAAATTAGAAATACCTGCGTTATTTCATTTGTATGTATACAAAATTGCTATTGTTTCGCATTCGAAGTTCTCATGGCAACAAATATGAAGTTCTGTCTTCTGAGATATGAAGCTGCATAGTCCGGCAGTAGCCCACCGAAATTTCGGAAGAATGTACCGCATCTCTCTTCAGAGTTAATCAAGAAATTTCCTGATTCTTGCCAGTTTCTTGCTTGGCTTATTCTCCGATACAACAGATGAAGCTACACGATTTTCCGAAACGTCGGTGGACTTCTATTCGATTAGAGGGCTCTACATTCCAGAAGATTGTAGGAGAGACTGCGGCTAACTGTTGCGAATTTCGGTATCCCTTTTTTTTCTGCCATGTGGTTGCTATATGTATCGAAATATTACCCACGCAGTACCCATGAAATCGCTTGTCTTGAAAGTAATATTGTTAATATATTCTCCTTCTTTTACCTTCTTATTAGGCCCTCTGGCCTGTTTCACCATGAGAATAAATATAGGAATATGGATCTGATAGACCATTGGTAGGACTCTTTGGAGGGGGATCAGGCCTTTCGCAAGGCCGCCAACTACACAGGACAACACAAACAAACACAGAAGAAACAGTATGATTTGTTTCATTCTGGTCCGTCACACTAACAATTACAAATATAAATCACTCCGTCCAATGTGACCTGTAAGTTTTTTACTACACAAAAACTTAACACCCTTGCATGTTTCGGTCTCTGTGGACCATCTTCAGAGGGCCAACAACACTACAAATAGGAAACCACCATCACATAAGTTGTTTAGACGTAAAGTACGTACACTTATATGCTACAATACATAGTACACAAAATAGAACATTTCACAAACACAGCAGTTTCCTGGGAATGTAAAGTTTTTTAAAAAATTGTATAAAATTTCTTGATGCTAATTAAAAACTTTTTGGATTGTCAGTAATTAAAATTCGTAAACCATGCAGGCTCGTGTTCGTCCTCCCATCGTCCCTCTTATATGGGGCAGATATTGTGCCACCTGGCTATCTTGATGTGGAGGTTCTGCAAATATATTATGGGTATTTTACTATTTCAATGTTAATACACTCTATATATATATGTTTGAACGAAGTTCACTCATGGAGCTGAGCCCTTCTTGAAAAGCCGCCAATTGTGTAGCTACTCAAGAATTTCCCAGCACTTTATGAAACAAGATCTTTCATTGCCGTGTTTACAAGAGCCCTCTACTGGTCTCTCTCCTGAGCCAGATCAATCCAATCAAAGCCATCCAATCCTATCTCTTTATGATCCATTTTAATATTGTCCACCCACCTAAGTCATGGTCTTCCCAGTGGTCTCGTTCCTTCTGGCTTTCCCACCAATTCCATATACGCATTCTTCGTCTCCCCCGTTCGTGCTATATGCCCTGCCCACCTCATCCTCCTTGACTGTTTTTTTCATTGGCGCTACAGCCCTCATTTGGGCCTAGGCCTACCTCCAAGAAACTCTGCGTTTCACTTCGGTCTACTAGATCTTAGACATACGGTAGGACTCCTTGGGCGGGTGATCAGCTCGTCGCAAGACCTCTACCTGTACACAAACACAGAAAAACATATACAAACATCCATGCCATGAGTTGGATTCGAACCCACGATCCCGGCTTCCGAGCGAGCGAAGACCGTGGATGCCTTTGACCACTCGGCTACCGTGACCGGCTCCTTCTTGGCTTCATCATTCTAATTATACTTGGAGAAGAGTACAAGTTATGAAGCTCCTCATTGTGCAGTTTTCTCCAACCTCCTGTCACTTCACCACTCTTCGGTCCATATATTCTCTTCAACAGCCTGTTCTCAAACACTCTCAGTCTATATTCCTCCCTTAATGTCAGAGAGCAAGTTTCACACCCATACAGAACCACAGGTAAAATTGTAATTTTGTATATTCTAATTTTTATGTTTTTGGAAAGCAGACGTGAAGACAAAAGGTTTGGACTGAATGATAGCAAGCATTAACCGAGTTCAATCGCCTCTTAATTTCCTCCTGGGTCAGGTTTTGATTTGTTATCGTCGTTCCCAAATATCTGAACTGTGCCACATTTTCAAAACGTCTGTTACCTATCTTTATGTCTTGATTTAACCTGCATTCGGGTGACAAGACAGCAACATATACTTAGTTTCTCTGTGTTTACTTCTAGGACCTCTTTACTTGCATCAATTAAAGTTGTGTTTTTTTTCTTTTTTTTTTTTTCCTTGGCACTACAGCCCCAGTGGGCCTAGGCCTACCTTCATGAACTTCTCCGTTCACTGCGGTTTTTCTAGATCATACACACTCGGTAGGACTCCTTGGGCGGGTGATCAGCTCGTCGGAAGGCATCTACCTGTACACAAACACAGAAAAACGCACACACACAAACTAAACATCCATGCCCTGAGTGGGATTCGAACCCAAGATCCCGGTTTCCAAGCGAGCGAAGACAGTACATGCCTTAGACCGCTCGGCTACCGTGACCAGCATTAAGGATATATAGCGTTATGAAAAGCGATTCCAGCTACCGCGTGACGTCAGTATCTTCGTAAGAGCTGTAGTTGAAAAAACACAGAAGTCGCAGAATTGGGAGCACGGTTTCGTGGGCCCATTTATTACGTGTAATTCGTTGGAACCACTTCGTGGGGACTCTAGATTTATAGTGAGGTTTCACAAAAAAACAAACTCCAGCGCCTTTAGTCTGAAAGCGAACTATACCGACCGAGCAACCGCCGCTTGTCGGCGAAGTTAGTGCCAACTTTAGCTGATAGAGGGTGTCACGTGGTCAGTGCAACGAATCCCCACGACCGTTAATCTCAGTTTTCTAGACCGTAGCCGCTATTTCCTTGAAATAGCTCCTCAATTATACTCACGAGGCTGAGTGGATCAGGAACTCTGATCACTAGACCAAAGAGGCGTCCCTATACAACGAGAAGCCATCAATAATTGACAGTTCAGTCTTAGTTCAATAAAGTTCCTGAATTGCGATTGCGCAGGCGCCATGGAACCCGCTCGACAAAAATAAACTCGATGCTATGAAACAAAGACAAAGGAATGGGAAACTACTGGAAGATAAAGAAAATATTTTTCTTCCACCCATACGGGACGACAAACCGCAGAGTACCAAGTGGGGATAAGCAGAGGTTCAGTAAGTGTTCCATTTGGTGGCTGACGGAGCAACTGCTACTGGCGGTTAATTTTTAGCTCGATTTTAATAACTAGTCCCACTCTTCCCTATGCTTCATTATGCTTATTGTCAAGCTGAGTAGACTCAGTTTGCCACCTGT